ACTTCTAAGGCTCTTAGAGCAGCATCTGGCTCACAATGAGCCCAATATTGTTTTGAAATAAAAAATTTTTAAAACATGCATAAGCCATACGAAATTCAAATAAAGCACTCACCGTAATTGACGTCTACACTGGGATAGCTGGTCCACAAGAAACGATCTTAAGCATGTACAAAAGTGGCATCTGAAAGATAGACCAAGTATACATTTTGACATTCCGCCGTGTGGTTTTGCCCTGGGTCACACGGAATCAAAGAGACTTAGAATCAGAAGGGCCATTTACACTCGCTGATGGGAGCTGCCCGCCCGTGTGTCTCTGGCAGAGCGCCTTCCGGCCTCTGTCATCTTCTAGCTCGTGGGATCAGGGCTTCGTGTCCTTCAAAAGTTTAAAATGAACTATTTTTAGGGTTTTCCATTTTCCTCGTAGTTAGAGTAGAAATTGTGTAAGTCTTGGATGGCAGAAGCATGGGGGATCCAGTCTAGGGGCTCAGCCTGCAGTGAGGGGCTGCTAGCATGTTAGAGCATCCTGCTTCATCGGTAGAAGTTTGTCCTAAAGGGAGGTGATGGGTTCTCTCCCTTCAGCACTTTGGGGGATGCTACCTGTGCTGAAGAGGAGAGTCCCACCGTGTCAGAGTGCTGGAACCTTTTGCTCTGGGAGGTGTCTGGGGCTAAGAAGGGGCTTGGCTGTGTAGCTCTGTGACATCTCATTGGGCCTTTGTGGCAGCTGTCCTTGGTCCCTCAAAAGAAGGGCATGCTGGGGGCAGGCTGCACTCCAGAGTTACAGACCAGGCTCGCCCCCCGGAGGGCAGCGGAGCCCTGCTCAGGCAGCTCTAGGGGTCCAGGCCCATGGGTTCACTGTCCCCAGGGATTCTTGAGCAGGGTGACCCTGGGCAGGGATCAAGCACAAATATTGGTCTAGCAGATTCAGGATGGAACGGTTTGACTTCCAGAGTCTCTTGTGATTCTGAAATTCTGTGATTCCCACTTGATACAAATACTCTCTAAAAAATCAGGGTTCAGAATTCATTTAAGAAAAAAAAACAGAAAGAAAGCAAAAGGAAACACATCTTTAATCCACAGAAGCTGTTTCCTGAGTCTCCTCATCTGAAGTTCAGTTAAACCTCTGATTACAAAAGTTCATCCTGCTTTGCTGCCTCCCATGCCCTCGACTCATCAAAGACCTCGCGTCTCATCATGTTTTTCAGGATGGGGCTCTTTTTATTATTTACGGAGAGACCACGCCGTTTGCCGGTTTCTCCTAGTGTTTTGGCTGACCTTTTCTAAAGGTTCACAAAGTGGACCCTGACGTCCAGAGCTGTGGGCATTAATCCACAGCCCTGGGTTTTCCTGGGACTCCCCTTCCAGGAAGTGCAAGCCTGTGGATGGCTGTTGTCTGGGTGATAGGATGGAGGTCCCACGTGGCCCAGCCATGGGAGGTCCAGCACCTTGGTCCAGACCCCGCTACCGCCTTCTGCTAACTCTTGGCCGGAGGTCGCGGACACAGAGGTGCCTGCGTCTGGCCTGCAGACGTGTCGGGTTTGGCCTGAATTGCACGCAGATGGTGTATAATCCGTTGCTGACATTCTAAGGTAAGGAGCCGTCACATAAAGCTCCAGTCCGTCTTCTTCTCTTGGGTCATCAGGAAATCTGGAAACGCAGATGCGGACCCTGCGTTCCCTGCTCAGTCCAGGGCGCCGTTCCTGGACCGTTGGCTCCGCTATGCATCGTTGACCTTCACGCCATCAAGAGGTCTGGCCTTCTCCGCTTGCAACAGCCTGACCACCCGCTTCCTGGGATCTTTTAGTAAAGCTGGAGATTTGCTTCCATAAATCCTCGTCCCGGTCTTCCCTCTCTCCAGGACGCTCGGAGTTTACGGCATTTTCAGGGTACTCTTAAGACTTAGCAAGCAGAAACCCCTTCCTCTGGATCCATATACAGTGTATTTTCAGGAACAGATTTGAATTTGTTCATGTTAGAATGGTGCCTATCTGTCCTTTCACTGTGTGAATGTAAAATACCAGACCGAATGCTACTGGTATTTTATATTCCCTTGCAATCCCGGATTCTCAAGAGAGGAACTGGACTGAAGGGGCCTGCCAGGATCCTGGGTGACCAGCCGCTCCCAGGTTTGGGTTTTGTGCCCTGGAAGGACGAGCTGGTGCTTCGAGACTGAAGGCTGTAGGCCAGGCAGTGGTGGGGACGCTGGTCGGTTTGACCATTGTGGTCATTGCCCACAGGCCACAACTTAGCAGCCCAGTATAATGGCAGGAGTGAAGAGGACACGGTGGCTGGTCCTGTCACTTCCCAGCACTAACGAGCTCCCTTACCTCTGTGGTCAGAGTACACGTCTGTAACGAGGGAGCCGTCATAACTCTGCTACCCCTGCCCTGCTTCTTATGGGGAGCGAGTGAGCGAGAGAAAGATGACGACACTTAGAAACGCATCAGCACCTGCTAGCGCTCAAGCCACTGAAAGAAAAGTGCGCCTTCCCTGGTCCAGCTCGGCCCAGACCAGCAGCTGGGCGACCCCATCTTGCGTGCAGCGTGACGTGGGGAGCCAGGCGGCCAGTCGGTTCAGTCTCTACTGCAGTCTTGGGGTGGGCTCTGAGGGGTGGGATAATAAACCCAGCTGGCCAAGACTGAAGGGCAGAAATACGGTTCCTAAGCCACCAGGGTGTTCAGGTCTGCTGAATGTTGCAGCATTTGAATAGTACATGTAATCAGAGATAATCCTCCGAGGTGAACCACAGAATTTATTTAAGAAGATCGCCAAGATTTGGGTTTTCTTTTTTCAACAAGACATTAAGTTTTCCTAGGACCAAACAAATTGGCCTAATTTAATTTCCCAGAAAACTATGACGTGGTCTCTTCACGTGGCCTCCTGATAAATTTTCCCTTTATTCCCTTAAGTTATAAGTCTTTATACCTTTCACCGGGGAGTGTAGGATTTGCTCTTGAAAGTGCCCACGTGCTAGCTGAAAGACTTCTGTACCTCCCTCTGCAAGGAGCCCCGGGGTGTGACCTGAGGCCTGCATTTCCTTTGAGGCCGGAGGAAAAGCTTTCTGAGGCCCAGGGCGGCTCTCAGCCACCAGTGACACATAGTAACCCCAGCCCCTGGTATTGTTGGAAGTCCAGCTAAAATGGATGGTGGTGGGAAAATGTGAGCCTGCAGGAGAACTTGTGTCACGTTTTATTATGCTAAGTTTTAACATCTTAGGAATCCCACCAGGGAGGGGCATTTCATGATTTTAAGTGTTACTTTTTCTTTGTCACTACTTCATTGTCACCAATGGCGACCACCCCTCTCCCACTGGTTCTTACTGTGTCCTGGAACTTGCGTCGCCTTGGTTTGTAAGTAAAATTTTCCCCTGGGCCTGTTCCCCTTTGTTGGTCTCAGTGCCATGTTTGGTTTATATTGGTTGAGATTCCAGGAAATCAAGGTCTTCAGCTTTATGTCACGTGCTTTCTTTAAGTAAGAACTTGGAAAGAGATGCTCTTCCAAAGGTTTACTTGTGGGTTGCCTCAAACTTTGAAATATTTTCTTTCAGCGACAATAGTTGGTTCATAATCCATTATATTTGTAAAATTTGGTGTCAAACTAATGTCACAGTATTGGTAATTAATTGGAACTTAATTCTATTGCATAAAAAATGCTTACTTGATTTTTTTCTTGTATTTTGGCTCCTGATCAATAGAGTCAGGAGGCTGATGGAGGCTGGTAAAAATTCCCAAGGGGACTCAGGATGCCTCTGCTTCTTTAAGGTGTCGGATTCTATCTCAAACTTAACAACTTTCTCTCTGCCTCGATCTGGGTGAATTCACTAGCATTAGTCTTAAGCGTTCTCAGTCATAATCATCATTATGTAGGTTTATAGGTGGGCAGCAAGAGGAAGGGCAAGGAAGGAGGCTCTTCTGTTTTCCTTCTTTTCCGTGAACAGGAGTTAGACGAATCCAGATGTGAAAGCGCAAGTTGAAATTCACTGAGCACGGAAGGCGCGAAGCCCCAAAAGGGAAAGA